ATTTTCGTAAAATGATTGTAGTTAGGAATAAGTATATGAGCGCATGATAATTTCCAGAGGCGGATCGTAGGCTATATACATTCCCAGAAGTTTCCCTGGCATAGTCAGTAGTACGCGCCATTTTAGCACCCCACTAGATCTAGTCAAGTTGTAGAAAAACTGGTTTTCGAATAATTGTTTAATAAATCTATGCAGGAGTAACTTCATTTTGCTTTAAAAAGATGTTTTCCTTCATCTTATTTACTAGTACTTTCAAGGAATTATCAATCAATCATGATGGGTAATCATTCTCAACTTAATTTTTTCTTAATACTATCACTTCCTGCTTCCGATTGTTAATATCTACAGGACGCAGGCTCCTTATTATCACTGATTTCATAACTTCTTCTCTAACCCTACAAGTTTGGCTTAAAAAATTTAATAAAATCTCTCAATTGTGGTTTTTCTATACACATTCCTGCCCAGTTTGTTTCACTCTGCTTACCGGGACATTTAGAAAAGGGATGGAAACATAGCAAAGAAAGCCTAGGAGAATTCGTAACGTTGATGAATGGAATCGACGGAAACATCAAGTTCGCCATGGAACTAGAAAAGTGTGATAGTTTACCTTATCTGGATGTCGTAGTTAGCAGAGAGGGAAACAAACTGGGTAGAAATGCGTAGAGGAAACATACAAATGCGGTTTCCTTTAAATTTATTTTCAAGCCATATTTATGTGGCTAAAGTAGGAGTTATAAAATCTATGATAATAGTCTGTGTTTTAAAGATGTTAACCATCGGGGGCAGGAACTAAGGATAGTAAGTAAAATTCTAGTTAAGAATGATTGCCCATTAGGATTAATTGATAATTGCTTTCAAATACTAGAGAATAGGACGGGGGGAAATATCTATTTGGGGCAAGATAAGCAGCTGTACCACTCAACTAGGGTCCTGATGTTACCGTCGTGCCAGCTTTCAAAAAAGATAGACGAATTACTGAGAACTTGGGATATGAAGACGATTTATAAAGATAAAAGAATACTTTCTTCAATAATACCACCTTTTCTGAAATTTCTGGCCCACTTTCCAAATAGGTTTTGTGTCCATGTGGTAGCGCGGGTGAATAGAATAGAAGAAACGAGTTCGGGAAATTAATTGGAAACTACATGTGGCGGTTGGATAGGGTTAGAGATAGAGAACAAGAAGTACTGCCGAGCAAGAAGCTTAATTAGCCTCAAATCTGACTTTCACTCTTAAATCCCACGCGTTTCACGAGCAGTGCATTCACGCAACACACCTGCAATGGAACGCAATCATATGAGGCAAGATTGCAGGAACAAACGAAAAAAATATGTGTTTTACACTACCTTTGCAGCCACTTTCCTTTTCAACAACATGTAGGAAAAGTATGGAATCTCCGACCAAATTATGGGATGTTTCACTAAGTGGACCTAGCCAGAGTATAAAAAGTGGGTAGGATAGCAGTCTGCTATCTTGTCTTTAGGCTTGGTGAATTAACGTAAAACGTGGTGTCTTGTTCTGACGATGACAGTCAAATGGTGGGCGAAACCTCAGCAAGGATTCATCGGGGTCGCAGGGCGGTGCACCTAGGAGCTATGCGCATAAATCTACAATCACAGCCCTAAGGCTATCCCTCTGCAGTTTCCAGTGAGGCCAACTTACTAATCCTATCCACTCGCATCTGTATTTTTCCTTTTTCATTTATGGCGATAAGGGTACTTTAGTTGAAGTTTCCCATAACGATACGAAGAGATATGTCGTTTCCGTCCACTTTCCCATAACTCTGCTTTCCCAAAAGTTATTCTCATCCAGAGTGGACTGCAGTTTCGAACTTGCCTAGATTTTGTCAACACCTACAACAAGACTCGTACCTCGACATTTCAGCGTATAATCTCAAGGCGTTAACCACTACGCCATAATACCACGAATACCCTTGGGTCACAGTGCAGATGAGAATGTCAAGGAAGGTCAGGCATTTTGCAATATCACATTCTGGAAATTATCATGCATATCATGAAATCCGGGCAAGTTGCATATCTCTGGATCGCCCTGGCGATACAAGCAAATTGCGGAAACTAAGTTAAGCAACATTTAAAATTGGGGAAGTTCGAAATTAAGCAAATTTAGCAAAAGGACAGAGTATTTAGATAAATTGTTGAAACTATAAAAACATTCTTAGAGTGCTCTATTATGAATACTTGATACAATCGTTTCTTACACATAAATACGCATACATGGGCGCGTTCCTAGATTGAAAGCTAAGTTACTGGATCATTCCAAAGTGAAAATGTGCGAGATTGGAATAGAGAGCTCAGCAACTTTAAATCAGGAGAGTCATCGAAGAACTGCTATGCTATATAAGCAAATATGAATCAGTGTGATGAACTGTTTCTTATTTAACGAATATTGTACGCTTGATCTTTAAGATAGTGCAATTTTGGCACTCCCTTTTGGCTTAATATAGGCGATTATTCCAAGTAAACAGTAAAATCTTAAAACAATGGACATATAGTAAAACCATATCTACATCCATTTGAGGTGTAATGCTTTACTAAGAAGAGTTTACGTTCTACCTATTTGTATGTTTTATGCATTCGGAATAACAGCATCCTCGGACGAGAATTTCACAATGAATATGAGTTACTCTTCTCATTTATCCTCTCAAAGTACTGATGTCAACTGTAATGCTCAAATTAAGTAAAAGATGAAATACATAACGCTCACTGGGTATGGGAGTAAAATAAATTGTCTATGATGAAACCCCGACCTCTATTATTCCATGATATCTATAAAACATTCACCTTTAATTCATTATGCTGACAGGGAAAAGCGGCATTAGAGGCGTACAAAGAAGCTCAAGAAACTTTCTTATTGATTCAATCGGAAAAGCTCCGCTCCGACTACGTCTATCTGAGCTGGCTGGCAAGATGCTACATTATGACGCGACAGGCACGCTCTGCATGGGAGCTTTATCTTAAAATGGATACTTCTACAGAGTCATTCAGTCTGCTGCAGCTTATTGCAAATGATTGCTACAGGATGGCCCAATTCTACTATGCAGCCAAGGCATTTGATGTGCTAGAGCGCCTTGATCCTAGCCCTGAGTACTGGGAGGGCAAACGGGGTGCATGTTTGGGCGTCTTCCAACTTGTTATTGACGGGCAGGAATCGAAAGAGCGCCTCCGAGAGATCGTAGCCATGTTAAAGAGCACCAGCAACCCGCAGACTGAATATTTTGTCCGAGTAATAAAGAAGTGGGCTAAGAAAAACGATTTATCGGTATAACCGACTGTTTTTCATGGATGGCATTAAATAAAGTAAGCATGAAAATAAAAGGAGAAGCTTCAATTTAGTTTATTAGCCCTATGATACCTTCGCTTTAGATGCTATATAGAAGAGATAATGAAGGTATATAAGATGAATCTAATAGCTGTGAACATGTATTTTTAATGCAGCTGGGCTACCAAGACAGATAAACAACTGTGACAAATAAGTGTATCCATATTGTATTGAATTGTATAACAATGAGGATAATTACTGTTTTAGAGGTAAATATGTCATCTAGCTAGTTGCCGTCTCAGGAATTAATTGGTAGATAGACATGTAACTTTCCCAGTGATAACATTTGTGATGAAATCTAGCTGACTTATCTGTTAGTAGCTCGGCATAACAGACATTTTACATGACTCAATAATAATGATTGAACCAGATATATCATGCTATTCGATGAAGTATATAATACATATTCAGTATAACTGAAAACTTGTGTAAGAACAAGAAAACGAGATTTTAGACTATATTTTCAAAGAGTTTTCCTTAGTGCTGAGTTAAAAATTGCTATAAGGCGGAAATTCATTTATCAGATTGCGACATCTAATGAAAGTTTAACCTTTTAATTTTCTAAATTCACTTCACAAGGAGCCAAGTGAAGAATATACTCAAACCTTACATATTAGCACGACTCGCTCAGCATTATCACATAAGGATTAAGTTTATAACCTGCAAAGTAGTGATCTAAGGTGAATAGAAGCAAGATAAAGTCTACAGCCTATATATATATATATATATATTATAGAAACCAAATAATATATTTTAATAGAAGTAAATCAAGTAGACGAGAGCTGCAGACAGATAGAGCCCACTGCCAAATAAAGCGTAAACCAATTAATTTAAGGTGATATGTATAAAGAATGTTATTCGAGTAATTACAGAATGATCACAGAATGTAATCATGGCCTGTTAGGATAAGCAATTGCATGCACTAGAACACTCTTAAGATTGACAAATGTGATGAAATTTCAGCTATTTACTATATTGAGGGCCCTTTACCGTTTTATTATCGCTATTATATAACATTGCAATAGTCTATACAAGAAGGCAGAACCATCGAGTGGCGATAATATATGGCCAAAAAGAAATACGCGAAATGGTAATGAAAGTAATTATGAGCTCTAAAGCTTCAGTGAAGATCAACGCACCTCGGTCACACGGCGTAACACACATAACTCAAGCAAAAGCCACCCATCTAAGAGCTACAATTGTCGTTCTGCACAGTTATTTTTCCATATTTATGAATCAATAAATTGGTGACAATTAGGGAGCTTTTAACTTAAATGATAACTATTTAGGAGTTGGCCCACCAGCCAGTAAAAATAGCATACTAAAAGCAACTTAGCACAGCTTAATATTCGACAGCCTATAAAAATCTCCCAAGCAGCTCCGTATACATAAAATATTCACCAGTGGTCGATTATCAAAGTTAATGATATCCGACACCTAAAAGACTTGAAGCATCCAATAAAATGCATGTGCAAAAAGAGGAAGTTTCCTGAGGATCGTAATGGGAAGTTTTACACACCAAGACACGCTGTCATGTTAGAAATAATAAAAGTCTTGAGTCGTGAGAAGATTTTTATAATGTTTGCACAAATGTTCGGATTTCTCTAAAATTGGTGATAACCCGTAGAGACCATAATTTGATATCTCGATTCTACTTTTTCTTAAAACGTAGCATGCCTATAATAAAATTGGGCAACTAAATTTGGCTAATGTAAAACAAGAAAGCCCAGATGGTGTGGCCTCTTGTATGGTCGCAGTCTTTTTTCGTTGTATAGAAGTTGTTTGACCTTGTTTTCGCAACTTTGTTATATTGATAGAAAGACTTAGAGGAACGCACCTAGTACGGAGTCCATTGTATGCATGATAACTTCGAGAATCGGACCGTGGACGTGGTAAATTGCCAGACGTTTCGCCGGCATCGTCAGTGAGTATCGCCACTCTTAGCCCCATACGACAAGTCAAAGAGACAATTGAAGCCGATCCTTTGACCAAACGTGCGCTAAACAGTTGTGGTATCCCTCCTCATGCCCTGTGCTATTCGCATTTCCTACATCCTCGTATAATGCCTTCACTGTTACAATTTTTCATTGATTATTTAAATGTAATGTGGTAGGCCCTTTTGAGCGGCTTTCATGAGAACCCTCCACACTCCACACTGGCGTTCTCAACCTACTTCACCTTTGTGCTGGAAATGTTGATCAGTCTGCTATATTGTTATGCAGTCCTCATCTCATAGGCCTTACCAGTCTTCCTCTTGCCCCGTAGGATTCGTCTGTTATCTCCCTGGTTCAAGTATTTCACTCGGCCCCTGCCAACCCTATCTGTACTACTCGAGGCGTTATTTCCCACGCTCTGCCTCTAGGTCAATAACTTGAGGCTAAAGCCCCTTAGTAATTCTCATGGTCGAGCCATTTCTTAATGGACCATGACTATGGTAAAACAGGCCTATTATGAACAAACTAGCTCTCACCTGCGTCTATCCTGTTTATATCCGTAATACCAAGTATATGACCTTCTATGCCCTAGCCTCTTGTGTAACAACTCACAAATGTTGTGATACTGCTTACTTTGATTAGGTTCAATGTTGAACCACAACATTTGTGAGTTGGCACACAAAAGAGTAGGGCATATGAAGTCATAGACTTGGTATTACGGATAGAAACCACAATACAATTGTAGGGTGGTGCAAAGAATGGCAACTTACTGACGATGCCGGCGAAATGTCTGGAAATGTGTACGTCCACAGTCTAACTCTGAAAATTGCCATGCACACAAATGACTCCGGACTAATTGCCTTCCTCTAAGTCTTCCTACAAATATGATCAAGTCGCAAAAACAAGGTCAAACAACTTCTATCAATTTATCTAGCTTATCGTAGATATAGAGGCCAGCATGGCGGCCTTTTGTTCATTCGAAGTCTTCTTTAGCCGTTTGATCTCGTTTTCATAACTTAGAGCGACAAAGATACCATGGCAGAACACTCAGGACCAAGAACATTCAAAAAGATATCCGTCGTTCCAAACAAGTTGCGAAAACAAAATCAAAACTAACACTCAGCTTGTTTATACCTGTTAAATTCATGCCTCTGCTTTGATCCAACTTCGCCTCTCAGAAGTCAATTTCTTAATTCTCTGTCACTTAATCCCCCATTATCATGAAGCAACTGTTATGTTGGTTAACTATGCATTATAACCGCAAACAAAATAACTTACATAGAAGAAAAAAGCTGCAGACCACACTAGTAAAAATAAATCGTCGACAACCATTTTTTTCATTTCAGCTCTCAGTCTTCTGCGTGTATCCAAATCGCACGTCATGGCTACTTACATATGATAATGTATTAACAACCCTTGCATCATTTCCTCATGTACATCATATCCACATACGTATTCGCCTTTTCACTCTAGGCCTCGCAGAAACTACCCTCAACGGGAGATAGGTAAAGAACCTACTAAGTCATTTTTTGCAAAACTACTAGCTGTCAACAGTAGCCTGTAAGATATTCACCTCGAAGTTAATAGCAATACCATAATAAGTGAGTGTCAAAAATATTCCTTAAAGGAAAGCACTAGAGTTAGAGGAACTTTCTATATTGAAATGGATGTTCTGCTAAAATAGTAGCCTCTGCACAAGGGTGCCTTCGTTTATAAGTAGGTTTAGAGAATACCAGCAAATCAGATGAGGTGCGTTCACCCTATTTTGTTTAAGGTGATGAAGGCTAGTAGTTAAATTTTCCCAAAACAATATGAGTATAACTTACGTTTCCATTGGGTGAGTAACGCATCGAGATTACACGTTACACCATCACAATTCGAGTCCCACTGGGAGTGCTAATGAAATCTAGGCGAAGTCGAAACTACAGTCGAGTGTGGATGAGGATAGCTTTTGTGAAGCAAGACTCTACGGAATTCAATGGAAGCGTGAGGTCCGCTCATAAGATTGTGAGAAAACTCGACTACTAGCCCTGCAGGATTTGAAACAAAGTAGAGTGGACACATCTCACATTGCTTTACTCGGCAGAGCTTCAACTTTTCTTAGAAAAATTTAGAAAACAGGGGAAAGCAACTTTTTAGGATGAAGCATAAATGCATGAATCCTCCAGAAATATAACCCCTATGAAGGTATACACTATTCAATATTCTGTTTTACATATAATAAGTGTAAAATATCCAATGGGCTGAATATAGATGCTGAAATTAATGTAGTATGATACCTAAAATTGATAGTCTAGCTTTTTTGACATCATGTATAACTATTGATCACACCCAGTATAATTCGTGTCAAAAACTAATTCGATATTTCTCATAAACTAGCAGTGTGTAATATTGAGTTTAAACTACGAAATGTTTTAGGATTCGTCCAAAAATAAACTTGGTGTTATCCAAAGTATCTTCTTTAATGCTAAACCAGACAATATTGTAAAGAATAAAAGCTATATTCGAAATAACAACGCGGAAACGTTAGCTCATAGATAACGAATAAAATAAGCTCTAACAACACATCTAAAAACTGTCCTTGATAGATCCCTTTAATTAATCCATTAAAAATATTAAAAAATAATTTTAATCATTATAATATTTAATGTCAAAGGACCAAATTTAATTAGAGGCCACCCGAAAAAGATTTCCCTTGCTCTGAACTCGTTGCAATCATCTCAAGAATAGAGATTAGAAGACGCCTCTCTGTAAAATAATTAAATAATTAGTCAATAAAAGGCCTTTGGGTACAGAAAAAATCAATGATCAATTTACAAACTTTTTAAATGGTCTGGCCTTTTTCTCTAGGAATATAAGTTACATCAACAAATGTCATATCATATAAAAAATAATAATTAGGAAGAGATGAAAAGAGAGCTTGATGTCGTCTGACCTCATTTTCGTAACTTGGTCGCTTTGTCAGACACTTCGATGGAAGCAACTTGGCCGGAGTCCTCTGCTATAGAAACT